ATTTTTTTTAATTTTAATTTTATTTTATTTTATTTTATTTTTAATTGTTCCACTTCCATTTCTTTTTCTTCCCCTCCAGGCTCCCATTACACTTTTTACACCACCATGTAAAACACCTGTCCTGTTAAAACCAAATTTTATTTTCTTTTCTTTTTCTGCATTGTCATCTTTTCTAAGTAATAAAATGTGTAATGTTGGTTAAAATAACGAGGTAAACTATGTGAAAAATGTGTATTTGATTCTTAGTATTTTTAAGTCCTGAATTTTTTTGACCTATTTTTGGTTTATCTACTCAAGAAGTGATTGTGGCCTTTGCATCCATTGCCCCTTCAAATTCCCAGTGCACTGATAGCAGTGAAACACACAGCATTGTGTTTTTTTCCTCAGTTAAAATACCTGTGCCAGTTCAGTCTGGTGACCTGTAATTCCTGCTGAGTATTAACATGGTGAGGACTGAGGGGCTTGTGGGTGCAGGTTGGAGTGTTACAATGAATTGACCTGAAATGTGTGTTGTTCTGTAAAATAGATCTTGCTAACCACAAGTGTTTATCCTTTTTGTTGATGTTGAAGCCTGGTTGTTTAAATACCTATTGTTCAAAGCTTGGCAGCAGCATTTCTTGTATTGTCTTTTTCAAAAAACAAAGCTGCTTTGGAGAGTGTCAAATTACTTTRATACATGGAGTATCATGGAGCCCCTCTGTGCATATCACTTAYCTCTAGAAGCCCTGTCCAAATGTCAACCAAATTTGGTGAAAAATTGGATATTTTAAGTTGTTTTATGAGGTAGTAACTGAGCAGAACCTAGTCCACAGCAAATTAGATCCCTGGCTTGAAGCCCCYTGGGTCAGAAACGGTACAAACTGAAACTGGATTAACTGGTAGCATCAAGACTTCAAACTGTTGAGTACCTGAGCCAGTGATAGTGGTTGGTTCCTGTTGGCCTATAGAGAGCATCACAGTAGTATGAACCCCAAACAGAGACTTGCTTTTCAGTATGGACTAACATCCCTATTGCAGATTACAGAAAAGCTCTTGGGAAAGTTCGCTTGAGTTGAAGCACAAACTGGTGGCCACGTGGAGGCCTTGTTCCTTTTTAGATATGCTTGTTTTCATCTGGCTTGTCAGAGTGTCTCCAATATTAACAACCAGTTACATAATCAATTACCTGTAAGATGCATTATTTTTATTTCCTTCTCTTCATTCCCCTCTCGCCACCTTCCTTTCTCAGAAGAAAAAGAGTTAATTTGTGCCAGCATTACAAGGAAAGGTGATATGCCCAAGCTTGTTAGTAAGCATGCTTTTGTCTTGTGCCATAGTTCTYAAAGCAGATAACGAATGTTTTCAGTACTGTTTCTGAAAGGATGTAATCGTTTTAGCAGAACTTGGTGACTTCCTGCCTGAGGTTCTGTAAGCTGTTTGGAGTTCTATTTTGGATAAAATCTTAATATTTTCATATGGATTGCTTTGAAGATGGCTTCGAAGAATTTTAATGTGTATGTAACATACAGTTACTTCAAGAGAATAATCTGCTATTTGGAAAAACACTGTTACTTAATAGCAATGTTAAATAAACATAAACAACATTTACAGGATCAGTTGCACTCTTCACCCCCCAAAAAATGATTAAGAAACAGTGTGTTCTCATAGGCTATAAATAACTCATTAAAATTTTTTWAAAAATATACTTGGCCATAGCACAGTTCATGAAACCTGTTCAGAGGGCTTTGATTGAGGCAGAGGGATGCTCTCCAGAAGTTCTGAAATGTAGGTGCTCATTCTTGCTCTTAAAGCCTGTGAGCCCTGCCATCTTCGGGGTAGTTCTGCTGGTGCTGGTGAGACTCCAATATGGAGGAATTCAGCAGTGTGCATCTGGGGAAGGCTTGCCATGAATGGGGAAAGATTGTAGAGGTAACAGTGTGGCTGTTGTGGGGAGCTGGGAAGTAATTCCATTGTTCATCCATGCTCAAGGCACCAAGGGAACAATCCATTCTTACCAGAGTTTTCCTACATAGTGTCCAGTGTTGATGTTAAGCATTTTATTTATTGGACTTTGATTTCACAGTTTCAAATAAACCAGATTTTTAACTTTCTCTTAGGTGTGTGTGTGAATGATTGCCTATCTATCCCCTTCCCCTTGTTAATACATTCAGAGAACTTTATGTGAACGTTTCTTTTAATGCAAAATGGCTGTTGAAATAGGCGAAAGGAAAGTAAGAGAAAATGAGACCTAGAACTTGGATCWAGATGCTTTATGTAGATCTTAGTGCATTATAGTAATTATTGTCTCAAATATTGAAGCTGCATATTTTCCTGGAGAGTCATATTCTTCAATCTTGGTACTAATTTGCTATCCCTAAATGCTTGTGCTCTCATTAAGTTGGTACTGTAGAAATAAAACCAGATGAATTTTGAGATGTAGAAGTGGTGACTGAGAACACAGTATGGTTGTGGTTTTCAAGACAATCAAGGAGCATGTAAACAGCCAAGCTAAAAATCAGTGGCTGTAATTAATTGCTCTAGGTGTCTCTTCTCAGGGGTGAAGTCATTCRGATAGAAAGTGTTTGTCAGGAAAGACGCTGCTGCCCCTGTTGGGGCTACGCATGGGCAGCATGGTAGATACCTCTGTGGCACTTCTCTATGGACAGAGCCTCACACTCCTGGATATGGGAATGGGAAAACAAAGGAAATGCCCTATGCAGTAGACTTGGCAAATACAAGTCCTTGAAGCACATGAAAGGAGATCTGGTCTTCTGTAAAGGAAGCCCAATTGGGAAGAATACTGGTTGCCTTGCAGGATGATTGTGGCAAGTACTTACTTCCACAATGCTTACTTGTGTTTCTGTTGCCCTAAGCCACATGTTCCTCTGGGGCAGTGAGGTCAACTGTCATAGAAATACCYCAAAATCTTGGCAAAAATCTTGAAATACTCAACAATTTGCAATTTGTGTACCCTTTCTATCTGTTTTTTGGAGTCGATGGAAGAGAAACGGTAACTGCCTGGTGGGTGTTACTTGCATAAACTTTTGCGTTGTACTATGTGGTTGAACWTTGTTAGATCTTGTGGTTTTGCTGGAGTATCTGTATCATGTTGAGAAATACAGATTTCTCTTTGGGAAATCTGCAGCCATGAAACCTAAATACAGTGGCATTACTATTAGAAGATGTTTGGCTGGTGAGGCCAGTTCCTTGTTCGCTGTCTGTGGGTGGAAGGTGGATTCTTAAGGAATTAGGAGGACAAAAATTTAAACACGCAGCTTTAGACAAAGGCTTTTTTAAACCTTATTAACAGATTCAGCCAAGGGAGGAGGGATAAGCTGTGCTTGGAAATACTGTGTTGGTGGCAAGTTCTGAGCAGGGCAATAAACCCTTAAGGACTCTTTTTTCCCCCCCTCCTTTTGTCCATACTGGTAAATAAAATGTTTGTTTTTTTTTTTAATTCTGTTTTGTATGATAAATCAACTGCAAGGGAGGAACAGAGTGTTGGGGTCAGACATCCAGTTAAGGCTCAGCCCAGAGGGATCCCTGCCTCAGTTTACCTCCAATTTCYCTTCAACGGGAAGTTGTATCTGTTATGCCCAGACGGTTGCACATCAAGCAAACCAGTGTTACCCTAATTGAAGTGAGGGGCACTGTGCCCTGATGGTCATTTTTGGGGACAGGATGGTTGCATGGTGAGCTGAGACTGAGTCCTGTCCGTGCACCTGGACTTCTCTCCAGGTCCTTCCAGTCCTCTTGTGGAGGCCCCCAATGCCATATTAAAAATGGTCCTGACATCTACTGGTTGTCAGATACGAATGCCCTCATTTGCTTTCTCCTCCTCTTCTGAATTAGGGCATTAGTGCTGGATTTACTGTTATTYGTGGTAATTTCAGATCTGCATGAGACTTTTTTGAACAACCAGGGTTTTCTTAAAAAAAAAAAATTAAAATAGTCACTTCTTTGTTTGCAGGGGCTGAAACCTTGAGAATGTGTCTGTGCATGTACCTGTGTCTGATTTGCCTCTTGAAGTACCCAGTTAAAGGAACTTTATAGATTTCCTGGTGACAAAAATTATCATTGTTCATTTGACTTTTATCATTGTGCAATTTCCATGCCAACCATTTAATACATCCATACATGTCCTTGATGTCAGGTATCCTTCTCAACTGGAGAATTAACATTCTTGGGGCAKCCCTGAGTGTTTTTTGATGGGCATCTGCAGGAGGAAATAAATTTATATAAAGTAAGAGAGATTTAAGCCTGTGCAGTTTTGATCTTGAGAATGAAGTGGCATAGAAAATAGAGCTGCAGTTGTAGAAAAGCATTGGCTTTAAACAAAAACAACCGAAAAATAAAAATCCCGAGGCGGCTGCATTCCTTCTAAATCAAAAGCAGCTGAAATGTAATTTTCCTTGTGCTGTGATGCCACCTGTGGGATTTCTGTGGGGAGTACAGCTCTGGCCGCAGCATTGTAGTTTTTTAATCTTGGGGTTGAATGTTTATTTTAAAACCACAAAAGCATGACGTCCTCCTGAGTCTATCAAAATGTTTCCTACACTGTACTTAGCTATTTCTGTATTGAATTTCAGGGAAGTTGAAATCCTTCTCGGAAACTTTGGTACAATTGCTGTCAGCAATTGCAGACCTGAGCCCAACACCTCATACACTTCCTGTCCACAGAGACATTTCTAAAATGCCTGGTGCGTGCTAGATCTGCCTTGTAAAAAAAGTCGTCAAGGTAATACAATCAATGAAAAATTTTGTGAGTTACTGCAGACATCACAGCAGTGATTCTGAACCTGTGAAACTGATACGTGTTTTGGAGAGCAGAGGATTTCTGTGTTAAAAGATTAGCATTTTGAAGCCATAATGAAGTGCAAACTTCAAAAAATAGATCTGAAACTAATACAATTACTCCTAAAACTCTATAGACAAATGATCTGAGTGTTAAACATACAAAACAGAGT